GGGAAAGAGCCAATTAAGTAAGAGAGGGGCACTGAAGATTAAAGAGAGGAAGAGAATAATTAATGGTATAAGGTCCCTAAAAATATTGGAGGGGATTCAATTAAGGTAAAGAGAGGGGCTGGCTTTGAAGAGCAGGCTAAAGGGAAGAAGGCAAGGTCACAGAGGTGTGTGTGTGTGTGTGTGTGTGTGTGTGTGTGTGTGTGTGTGAAGCTACCATAAGCCATGGAAATGGACATATAGAAAAGGGAGGTAAAGGTTGATGTTTACCTTTTGCCAGAAAAGAATGCTAGAAATATTGATAGGGCTGCAGAATAGCATTCAGAAAACAATATACAGCCAGCTATTCCTTCTGCCCTTGATGCCAGGAGTATTTAGCCAAGGAAGTCTAGAAAGAACTCTTTTCCTTTCTTGTATCAACTCAGTACTGCTGGAGAAATAAAGAAAGAAGACTTAGAGAGATGAATTATTGATGGAATGTGTGAAAATAATATCTAATCAAGACCAACGACAAATTACTGAATCAAATTTTTTACTAAATCTGGATAATAATATAATTTATAAGATCATGTGCTATACAATTTCTCATAAGTAAAAATAGCATAAATACAAAATGTTTTCATAAATTCCACCCCCCATGTTATATTTTAAACCAGAATGATAAAAATCGTTAGATTGAGCTTTACTTCTCTTAGGAGTACCAGGCTGAAAAGGAGACTACACTGAGATTCCTTGCAGAAATTACTTCATAATTTTGTATTTCTGAAACCACTTGATCAAATACTTTCATGCTGTGACAAATAATGTGAAGGGTATATAATTTGGGTATCAGAATTGTAATTACCCAAAGATACTATTTATAACCAATCTGCTTCATTTGGCAAGTAGAGCTGTTTCCAAGCAGGAATTAAACTTTTCTGACCAATACTAATCACCGTTTTATAGAGTTAGCATCCCTTTTCAGCACTTAATATTATTAATTGTTTTAAGGTGTTAACTCTCATAAATTTGACAGCCTTGTGTTGGGACTTCAGTATCTTCCACTGGGTGGTCATCCCACTAAATTGGAATTTATTTACAGAAATTATGTGTTTCACCTGGCCTTTTTCACTTGGCGAATTAGCAAACTATGCATTTGTTTTTCTTTAAGGGAGATAAAGACTATTAAAAATCAGTACTAATGATTTAAACATCATTTTTAATATTTTAAGACCGGATGTGTCATTTAAAGTAGTCATTTTTATTTTTTATGAATGTTGAATTATAGAATTAATTAGAGTGATCAAAATCCTGGCAAATGTGTATTTGTTATTAATGTGAGAAAACAGTTTAAAAACATTTGAAAATAATGAATATTTTAGGACCTAAGAAGCCAAATTAGCATTTCCTTTAAATTATTTGAGAGTTTTTCTTTATCATGACGAAGTGGTAACCACTTATCAATTTCCTAAGAAAATTAAAGGTTAACTATTTAATGAACCTTATTGATAAGATTATCCTCTGAAAATAGGTCTGGCCTCTTGATTAAAGTATAGGTAGAGTGTCAGTAGTTATACTCCTTAAAGGACTAATTGCAGGAGCCTTTCCATTGAGACCCGTGTGATCCCTTTCAATTAGAAGATACTGCCCTGAGACCAAGTCACAGCCCTCTGTCTCAAGGGTGATTCCCTCTTTTCTTCACTCTTCATTCCTTCAACACA